TCGGAGATGACGCGGTCAACTTCCTGATGGTCATCCATAGAAGGAGGGTCCTGCGATCGTCGGTCCGGAAAGTCGTCGCTCTTGGCTGGCGTGTAAGTTGCCAGCTTCGAGGCGTGGAAGACCGGATGGACCGTCAGATGCTCTTGAATGTTGATCACAAATGAAGGGCCATCGGGCTCATCGCCCGCGGCTGCTGTCACAGACCAAGGTCCAAACCACTTGGGAAGCAGTTTGCGTGAAACATCCTGTTCCAGAGCAAACTCTTCCGCGGAGACCCAAACCAGATCACCGGCGCGGATGGGACATGGTACGCGACGCCTGTTGGCTTGCTGCTGCATGCGGACTTGAGCCTTTTGCATATTTGCGCGGGCTTGAGTCAGCAATTCCCTGTACTTCCGGACGGAAGAGGGAGAGCAGGCAGCGTCAATGTCGGCTGGTCGAGGGAGGAGAAGGTCAGCGAAGATCCGGCCTTTCCATCCACCGTGGTGCAACTCGAATGGAGTCACGCCGATCGCCGGATGCACCGAAGTGTTGTAGGCGAACTCGATGTCGGGGAGGCGGTCAACCCAATCTTTCTGGTCCGGACGGATGAGCGTACGAAGCATCATTTGAGCGGTCTGATGTGCCCGCTCCGTCTACCCCTCTGTCTGAGGGTGTCAGCCGAACTTGGTTTCATTGTTGTGCCCGACTCCTACATGAGAGCAGTCCAAAACGCCGACATGAAACGAGTGTCGCGGTCGCTGACAATGTCTTCTGGTACACCGTGGCCACAAATCCAACCAGTGTGCAGGAGGCGTGCCAGCTCGGGAGCCGTGAAGTAGTACTTGCAAGGGAGAAAACGCGCGTACTTACTCAATCGGTCCACAACCGTGAGGATGCCGTCGTGCCCGAGCCGGTCGCGAGGAAACGGACCAGGGGCGTCCATGGCAATGGAGAGACCGGGTTCCCGTGGAATAGGCATCAGGTGTAACTCGCCATAGGGATTGCAGTTGCGGGGCTTGCTGCGTCGGCAAACTTCGCAAGAGTCGCAATACCGAGTGACATCGGTAATGAGGTCGGGCCATCGGAATCGCTGTCGAAGTCGTGCAATAGTGCAGTTGACTCCGAAATGGCCGGCGAGTCGTAAATCATGGTGCTCGTCGAGGAGGCGAGTCCGAAGACGACGGTCGCGTGGGACACATAGTAAGTCCTTGCCTCTCGAGTGGAGGAGCAAGTACCCGTCGGCAATGCGGTAATGGCTGGCCGGCGGGTGATCCGAAGATAGCTGTGCATAGAGCGTGCCGAAGTCTGGATCAGACTGATACGCCCGGATGAAGTGTCGCTGAAGCTCCTCGTCGAATGCGAAGGTATGATGTGTCATAGCGCAAAGATCGGGTCTTCGCGAGAGTGCATCTGCTGCGCGATTTGAGAGGTCGGGCACATGCTTTGGTGTGAAGTCAAATTGGTCGATGAAGTACATCCATCATCCGATCGTTCTGCTCACCGTGTCCTGCGTCTTGTAGTAGGTCAATGGATTGTTGTCTGTGATCCATGTGAACCTACGACGCCCAAGGAGGAAGTGCCGCCAGCGTTTGAGAGTCATCACAAATGCGAGCAGCTCCTTCTTCCTTGCATCATCAAGCGAGTTGATGGGAGGCACTTTGTGGCTGAAATACTCCACAGGGTGTCAGTCGTCGCCGTCGTGTTGTTCCAAGACTGCCCCAATGCCATAGGCGGAAGCGTCCGTAGTCACTCGCGTCAGCAGGGTGGGGTCGTAAATGCTAAGGACGGGTGCCATGAGCATAGTCGTCTTAAGTGCTTGGAATGACCGATGTGCGTCGTCATCGAATATGAATGGCACCTTTGGCGACTGTAACCTCGTCATAGGTGCAGCAATCTTGGAGTATCAGGTGATGAATCGCTGATAGTAGCCCGCCAATCCCATGAATGAACGAACGTCCGTGGTGTTGGTGGGCTCGGGTCATACTCGTAGGGCCTCGATCTTGTCCGCAAGCGGACAGATGCCTTGCGACGTCACATAGTATCCCAAGTACCTCAGCTCCTGCTGTGCGAACTCGCACTTGTCGCGGTTTGCTTTGTACTTAGCCTGTCTTAGCCGCTCCAAAACGGTGCGCAGGTGTTACACATGCTCGTCCAGACTCCGGCTGTAAACCAGAATGTGGTCGAGGTAGATGAGTACGAAACGATCCAGCATGTGTCGGAACTCCGTCGTCATAGCCGCTTGGAAAGTGGCTRGGGCATTCGTAAGGCCAAAGGGCATGACCAGCCATTCGAAATGCCCATACCGAGTCTTGAACGCGGTCTTGTAGCGATCCTCCTTGCGAATCTCGAGTTGGTGGTACCCTGACTTGAGATCCARCTTAGAGAARAACTGGGCGCCGCCCAATCGCTCGAGAAGGTCGTCGATGCGTGGGAGAGGGTCGGCATTCCTGATCGTCTGCGCGTTGAGCTTGCGATAATCGATGCACAACCGCAGGTCCTTGTTCTTCTTCCGGACGAAGAGAACAGGAGCACCGTATGGCGATGAGCTAGGCCGAATCCAGCCTTTCTCTAGAAGGTCGTCTTGCGATAATCGATGCACAACCGCATGTCCTTGTTCTTCTTCCGGACGAAGAGAACAGGAGCACCGTATGGCGATGAGCTAGGCCGAATCCTGCCTTTTTCTAGAAGGTCGTCGAGTTGTGCCCGAAGCACACTTAACTCTTCCTCGCTCATTCGGTAGATGCAACCGCGCGGAGGTACGGCCCCGTCCTCGAGGATGATATCGTGGCGGATGGGTCTATCCGGTATTACACCAAGCGGGTCTTCGAACACGTCGCTGTAGGCGTCGAGAAGTTCGGTGATGTGTGGATCCGAAGGTGAGTCCGTCGATGAAGCGTCATGTGGCGGGAGGGCGTGGAGAAAACACACCCCCATCTCCTCGATGTCGTCTTTGATGATGGAAGCTCGCATGCTTGCGGCGGATACCACGTGGTAACTGATCGAAGGATGAGGAAGAGGCACCGTGCATGGAACTAATACTCCGTTCCGGTCACGAACGTGAACGGTGCGGTTGAAGAAGTTCACCGGGTGATCCTTGCTTCGCAGCCATGACATGCCCAAGATCATGTCGAATTTGGTGTCCAGAATGTCAAAGGACACCGCCTCACTTGCGTGAGGGGCGAAGTACACTGGGACGGCGTCAATGCACCGGTCGATGGACTTGTGCGTATGACCGTCTGCCAGRGTGATTTGCGTAGGCWGGGACTTCCTCCGGACACGTGGGCCAAGGCCGGCRCGTACCATGAAGTCCTGGCTGATGTAGTTGCGAGATGCTCCGCAATCGATCAAGGCACTGCAGGTCGCCTCTCCGATCTGAATGCGTATGTATAGCAATGGTGCGTCGATGTCGTCGTACCGTTGCGTCTTGAACTCGCGGTCGATCTTCGCGATGAAAGCGTGAAGGTCGACAACCTCTGCTCCGGCGTCCATCAACGGAGCTGGTACTGCAGTGTGCAAGTAATCCCGCAATTGTGCCATAAGCACGTTGCAATGCGGTTTCGGCAATCGTCCGGTCGAGGGAACAGGCATCCACTGGAAGTCCGTGAACGTCAACGGATCGAGCTCATCAAGTCTTGACCATGACGTCGAATCCCCGGCSATAGATTGCGRCGAAGCTGCCGAATCGGTTGCCGATGGTGATGAAACCGTGCATGCGGTGGACTGTTGCACGTGGAGCGGTTGGTCTAGCGGTGGAACCAAGTGGACAGCATAATCCTCGTAAGTATACCGAGGACTTGCGACATTCGCATCCTCCCCAGATGTGCAGGAGGCCGCTAGCAAGGCGGCCGAATCTGGCGGAGTAGAAGGTGGAGTCGCCTCACCTTTCGCGGAGCTCAGTTTCCCGAGCTGAGGCGGGGTCGCAYATCSTCCTTGCCCTGATCTTGGCACAGGGAGGTCTTGCGCTTGGTGCTATTGCACTAATAGCAGTTGCCGTAGCGGCCGTGGACCTTGTACTCTGCCTCGGTCAAGCCAAACTTGACCCATGAAAACTGTCCTGGCTGTCCATTTCTGGCCTGCGATGCGGATTTCGCCTTCCCATTGTTGCGGGACTTGTTGGTGCTTCGCGGCTGGACAGCAGCCACCTGATCTCCGTCACATGATGCTGGAGTGGCTGCTGGGTTATCTCGACTGTCCTGCTGGACTGCAGCGAAGTGCTGCTGTCGCGGACCAGTTCGTGCCTTCTCCACATAGGTCGGCTGCCATGTTGATTTCTCGTGTGCAGCTGACCGGTTGGTCTTGATGATTTCCCTCGCTTTGTCAATGATCTCCGCGAAGGTTGAGTACTGCTCGCAATCACCAAGAGCCTGGCTCAATGCAGCACAGGACCTGTTGTAGAACTCACGGCGTAGATGCTCGAATGGTAGATTCAGATTGGGCCCAGCCGCAATCTTCTGCCACTCCGTGAGCCAGTCCCGTATTGTTGTGTTGCCCTGTGACATGGTAAACAAACGGTTGATGGCGAGTGCCGGCGCGTCRTCGACGATGAACCGCTTCTTCCACAGCCGTGTCAGTTCCTCCCATGTGATTACGTCCTTCAAGTCTGGTACGTCGACGCCGTAGGAGGTTGCCAGGTGGCTCAACCAGGTCTTGCATCCGCCCTTTGAGTTTAGGAACAGGGCGCCGATGTACGCATGTTTGGCTACTGGCAGAATCCTGAGTTGCATTGTGAATGCTTCCCACCAGAGGACGGGATCCTGCTGYGTGTAGTCGTCGAACCTCTCCARGTTGAAAGTTGGCATCTTGTACATCTTTGGATTGTCGTCCGCGTTCGTCGACTGCAGCTTCTGGACCTCGGTCTTCAATGTATGCAGCTGACTGCTGATGGTGGTGGTCGGCGCAGCGAAGGTGCTGATGTCGCCGAGCATTGCCACTATGTGGTCAACGCGGTCCTCCAGTTGCCGGCTTGAGGGTGCACTGCTGGAAGCTTCAGCAGCTGGTCCTGGTACACCCTGTTCCAGGTCCAACAATCGGGCATTGAGTGCCCGAGTTGCATCCTCGTGGCTCTGCACTGTGCGGCGGAGCGTCGCCAACTCCTGATGCTGTCTCTCCAATTCTGACCTTTTGTAGTTGCAAGCATACAACAACCGCGTCACGAGTTTGGAGAGGAACTCCTTGTGCTTCTCTTCCGGTGTTGCCTCGTCACCGTTCGGTTCAAAATGTCAGTACTTGAGTCTGTCGATGCTTGTGGCTTCATGCCGCTGTAGCAGATCCTGGGCTTCCTTGCGGCGAGCCTGGGAGTCTGCGTCTGCATCGGCCTGTAGTCGCAGCTTCTCTGCTGCTGCTGCCTCTTCAGCCTGTAC